GTTGACATTTTAAACCTTAATAAAAAATCGATACAGGGCTTTAGAATATCGATACAGTATCAGGAAATGAAATATCGCGATATTTCAGTGTATCGATATTCGCACAAAATCTGATCATCTGACCGTTCCTGCAGGGCAGTGTAGAGGTCAACTCTGTGTTTTAACAATAGCCATAATTTTTTATTTTATCATGTAAACACAACACGTAATAGAAATCATGAAAACAAACATCAAAAGTAATACTTTTGCTAGTTGGACTTGTAGACAAGCTTGTGTGTGCATTCCCAAAAGATTACAATTACATCTTCCATTCTACTCAGATAACAACTCCTCTAAAGGCTCAGAAGCAAATATTATATATTAATATTTTTTTGATGCGTCACCATGTGCCGCGGCGCGCTCTCCTCCTGCTGCAGGCGAGCTGTAATGTAAACATGTAAACAGTGGTCCGGATAAGTTATGTTTTTTCCCCCCTCTTCATTTGCGCTCTCAGCCACGCTGCTTCCCGCTTCCTCTGTTTTGACTCCGGCCGGATGAGTCATCAAAAAGAATTGCGCGGTTGGCCGGCAGACTACAGATCTCTATCATAGGCCAAATTTATATCGTTTCTACTGTATACCGTTTATATCGAGCATTCCTAGTTCAGAAATGTCTTTCTGTGTCTTACCCTCTTGCTTGAGGGTGTCAGTGATGGCATTCTGGACAGCAGTCAGGTCAGCAGTCTTACCCATGATTGTGGTTTTGAGTAATGAACCAGACTGAGAGTTTTTAAAAGCCTCAGGAATCTTTTGCAGGTGTTTAGAGTTAATTAGTTGAGTCAGATGTTAGGTTAATAAGTCATTTAGAGAACCTTTTCATGATATGCTAATTTTTTGAGATAGGGATTTTTGATTTTTCTTTACTTTTTTGCCAAAATCATCAATATTTAAACAATAAAAGGCTTGAACTACTTCAGCTGGTGTGCAATGAATCTAAAAAACATGAAAGTTTAATGTTTATCAGTACATTACAGAAAATAATGAACTTTATCACAATATGCTATTTTTTTAAAAGGACCTGTATTAGGACTGGACTGAGGGTGAATCAAAAAGTAGGCAATCTGCAAAGAAAAATGTAAAAGAAAAAAGCTAGAACTACTGCTCTAAACCAGCATTTAAAGATAATCATATTGCCCACTAGGGCTGCCACAAACAATTATATTTATAATCGATTAATCACCGATTATTTATTCGATTAGTCGACTAATCAGATCATACATTAATTGAATATAAAACATACAGCTTATCGTGCCAAAATGCAGCTGCTATTATATAACCATGGTTAGATTTTAGCTATATGCTAACTAAAAATAATTGCTGTAGAAGGTAAGTTCTGCTCTGCAGATATTACACAGGTTTCTCTTTCATTTTTTTAAAATGATCCCACACTTTGAGCTCCGTTGTCAGATAGCCATGATACCAGAGCCTGTCTGTATAATGCAGGGGTGGGCAATCCTGGTCCTCGAGGGCCGCAGCCCTGCAT